TTTTATTTTTAGCTTAAGTAACTGGAAATTTTGTTGCAAATGCTGATTTAAATTTGTCCTACAGAAATTCTTCCGACATTGACGTGTCTACCGGTCGAAACATGCCAAAATAACAGGGTATTGAAAATCAATTACCACATAGGTAATTTTTAGTAAAATTAATTGTAAATAATTAATTCAGTCAAAAAGTATTGTTGTCCGACAAATTTCAAGCCGCGTTTTTTCAGTCCGACAGCTGGAAATCGGAATTTTCACAGGGTATGAAAAATCGATTACCACATGTCGGACAAAAATAACACACGATAGAAAAGTGTTTTTTATAAGCAAAAATTGTAATGTCCGACAAAAATATATCCGCAAATCGTCAGTCCGACAAAAAATGATGAAAAAAATTTCGTAAAAAATGTGCACATGTATTTATAATTTCTAATAAGGTATTTTCATGTATTAAGCAAAATTCCATATAAATATACAATACAGGGTGTTTCAGAAAGACCTCCCGTAAATACAGGGGGTGAGGACGACAAAAAATAAGAATTTTTTGTCATATGAACTATATGTCTATCTCCTCTTCTCAAAGCTCAAGCTTACTTTGAGAAAAGTCACTTATTTTATAGTGTAATATTGTAAGAGTTTAATTAAAAGCCTTTTTTCTCGAAAATCGTCCACATTAGGAAGTTCTAACAAGAGTACATTATTTTTAGAAAATAAAATTGTACAATAGAAATTGGAGCCCGACTGGTAAAAAACCTAACCTTAAAAAAAATATAACTTAAATTGTAATAAGAATGTAGCATAACTAGCGCCCTCTATGAAATATACAAAAAATAATTAGACTAGCGTATTTGGCACCCTTAAAAACCTCGGACTACCAAATTTCATAAAAATATTTCGCACCATTTGGAAATTTTCATAAAAATGTTATTTAAAAAATTTTATTTTGTCTCTCTGTATCTCGAAAACAAGAGGAGATAGACATAGAGTTCATAAGACAAAAAATTCTCATTTTTTGTCATACTATCACCCCCTTTATTTACGGGAGGTCTTTCTGAAACACCCTGTATATATTTTTCGTTTTATTCTTGTAATTGTAAATCTCTATATGCTCAATTTAGCCAAATAAATATCGAGAAAAGAATTAAACGATTTCAAAAAAGTATGTATGGTGTAAAAAAATTATGCACAAAAGTTTTGGGATTTTCTTTTAGAAAAATAGGAAAATTTTTGTAAAGAAAAATAACAAACGCGAATGAAAACTTGAAAGAGAAAAAAGGATTTTTATATCAAGTATAATATTAATTTATTTAGAAATAATGCATTATGCACTAAGATCGTATTAATCGCCTCAAAAATAACTTCATTTGTTTATAACTTTTAAATTTTTAAGCATAAAATAAGCAATATTATAATTATTTATTTGAAACAAATAATAATTTACATAATAATAATTAATAACCATTTATAAATATGAAATTTTTGGAGTGAAAAAATTAAATTTCATCACGATTATTGATTTATTGATTTTTTAATAATTTGCGGACATTAAATCGTCGGACACTTATGTCACTATTTTGTACAGTAAATTTAAAAGTGGAAAAAATGAAAATTAGATATGTGGTAATCGATTTTTTATACCTCGTGAAAATTCCGATTTCCAGCTGTCGGACTGAAAAAACACGGCTTGAAATTTGTCGGAGAACAATACTTCTTGACTGAATTAATTATTTACAATTAATTTTACTAAAAATTACCTATGTGGTATTTGATTTTCAATACCCTGTTATTTTGGCATGTTTCGACCGGTAGATACGTCAATGTCGGAAGAATTTCCGTCGGACAAATTTAAATCGGCATTTGCAACAAAATTTCCAGTTACTTAAGCTAAAAATAAAAGATGTGGTCTTGACTATTCAAGACCCCAGGAAATTGCCATGTTTTTGGACTTTTCCGAGTGGAAAAGCGGAGGAATCGAGAAAAGTCGCAGAGGAAAAATGTGGTAGACTCGTCAATAAGAAGCTCCTCAGGAGTTATAAAGTATGTGGTAATCAACTTTGCAGAGGGGGCCTGTACTGTGGACTATACTGACAACCCCCAATAATCTATATTTTCAATAATCGGAAAGAAATTATTCAAATACATTTTGGATTTACCTGAAGACAAGTCTTTACCTGGCACTAATAAAATTCTGCCTCGAGTCTTCGTTGGAGACCAGGCTTTTCCTTTACATAAACATTTAATGCGTCCTTATCTAGGTAGCGAAATAGTAAATAACGAAGAAATAAAAATATACAGCCAGTAGTACAGTTAGTAGAGCCAGGCGAGTCTCGGAAAATGCTTTCGGAATTTTGACAAAAAGATTTCGTATTTATCAAAGACGTTTGCAAATTATCCCTAAGAACATGGATAAAGTTGTACTTGCTACAATTGTTGTTTACATAACTTTCTTCGAAATGATACGTGTCATTGGACCGAAGAAGATAATCAACTGTACTTGCACTGGAAATTAGAAACCAATTTAAATATTACTTCAACTCTGGGGCCGGTTCGGTGTTGTGGCAAACAGCATCGGTTAGGAAAGGCAAAAGAAATATTTAAGTTTCATTCATTTTTTCAATTTATACATGTATTCCACATGTCACGTGTTCATTTTATTATAAAAATATGGATAAATAAATTAGTATATTGTGCAAAACCGTACTTATCTTATCAACTTCCACGTCACCTGTTACATGAGTGTTGTATAATAATGAAAAAGTAATATTAACGGTCGGTAGAAGGAAGCACAAAAAACAAGCACTTAGGAGGGAATTCTGGAAGGAAGCCTAGAGAGTCGAAGATAGGTAGTTGAAGTGAGAACAGTGTGCAGATAGGTAGCAAGACGATCGGCGGACAGTGTAGTGTGAAAAATATAGTAGTGGAAAATTAAGTGTTTAACCGGTATTAGTTCGTGACTGCCCAGATATTGCAATAGCAACCCCTTTGTTTCACATTTAACTTGTTTTACCATGATTATGTTGTTCTCTGATTTATTGTGCTCACTTTATGTCCCACGTATATACGAGCTTTGTTGAAGTTACTAACATTTTCGCCCGTGCGGAACGAATCTGGATCAAGCTGGATTGCCTCCCGTATGGGACTCCGGTGTTGAGAAGGATCTTCCGAAATCTCAACTTTAGCTGGATTGCCTCCCGTATTATGGGACTCCAGTACCTTCCGGCCCTGCCGGCTAACTAACACCAAACCTCTTCAGTTTTACTTGGAAGTGTGTATGACTAATATGGGTTAACAGATGACATTTAGTGACACATTAAATGAGACAGAACTTATTTATCATTAGCAAAGGTTCTTAATTTATGCCTTTGGTTAGCGGTTGTTTTGTATTTATATTTGGGTGGTAAGAGCAAGGATCGTGGGTTTCTCTGCCATGCTCTTTCCCCTCAGGAGCTCTAGGTGAGCCTGGCACTCTCATTTTATGTTAAATGGCTGTTAATGTTTTTGTTGTTCATTCTATTTGTCACATTTAATTTGAGGACTGTTGTATGTAGATAATAAAGTTAGGTGTATTTACTCTGATTTTGTTTTATAAAATTAAACCATACATCCCCTCTACAAAGTTAGTAGCCAGCGCCTTCCGGTCAATTAAAAATAGATACACACAACGTAGGGATTCCTTATGACGATCACACATTTTTGGCCACAACTACGTTTATATTTTTTTTTCAATCGAACCTGGGGTTGTTATAATACAATATTTACCGGGTCTCACAATATTTACCGGGTCTCACAATTTCTCCTGCAATTTCCTCCCACATGTTATCTTTTTGTAGTTAGTTATAGTAGTTCGCACCACTTTATATCAGAAATTTCTTTATATTTTTGGCCCAAGCATATTAATTTTTCCTACTTCATTTTAGAAGCCTTCTGTGCGCTTTGAACTCTGAAGAACGTATCCTGCAGGTTTGGACAGGTGCATGCTGGCCGACGACGCGCCGACTTGGCCAATCTATCACGACACGTTTTAATTCTATCCGTATTTTGATGGAATGAGCCGTGTCGTGCTGTAACGGGCAAGTGAGCGACAACCTTTATAGAGAAACTAAATTTCTATAATTTAAGTTTTATAATAAAGAAATAGAGATAAAATGCTTGGGATAAATGAACTTATAAACACAGTAAGCCAATTTATTATTTTGGATCTTTCCAAAATTATACTTCATAGTTTTTGTTGATTATATTAAACAAAATTTCGGTAATCGGCCTAAATTATTATGTACCTACTGACACTGATGGTTTAATATGGGATATCACTGATCTCGATATCTACCTACAAGGCAATTGAAGAAACATTCATTTATTTGATACATCTGACTATCTCAAGATAGTTTTGTGTGTAATGAAAACCTAAAATTGCAGAAAAATAATGACAGAAATAAGGATTTACACATTCGGTGGTAAAACAAATAATTGTTAATAGGTATATTTAACTAAAAGTGCCATTTTCAAATTAAAAAAACCACATTGAGTATCAACATATTTAAACTAATTATTTTTAGTAAAATTTAAATGTAATAAAAAATATCCGTGTAAAAATAATTCGGAATTTCGGCAATACAAAACCATTATGAACGTCATTTATTTATTGATGAGAACAAACGCTGAATGCAAAAATTCGGCAAAAAACTAATAAAGAAATGGTGACTGTTCATACAGGCATCTTCTATAGTTTTTTTATAAAATAAACTTTACAACGAAAACGTTAAATAATTTTCGTCATTTTAAGCACAATAATACTCTTAGTAGACATTCCCATGGTACTTTTCGATATTGTCACGTATTCCTTGTAAAATTAGTTACAAATATGATTTTCTTTGAGTTACTCACTTGATTGCTATGGGGATAAAAGTTTTTACTAAAACGATGGCCTTTCGAAAATAATTGACAATATAACATTATTTTAAACAAAAAATATTTCCATTATTATCATAATTTCTTCATTTTAGGCAAAGAATTCAGCCTGGGAAGGAGCCATGAGAAACTTAGCCGTAATATGGAGCCCCCTAATAAAATATCCTCAAAGAGTATCGAATCATTTTATGCATGTAACGGATTGGTTACCAACTTTTTTTAGTGCTGCAGGTATAGTATACACAGTAGGGTGGCCCAAAAAAATGATTTTTTTTTTCGTCTTTTGTGAAAATATGTTAGTTTATCATGCGTTAAGAGCCCCCTCAAAAAATCAGCTCAAAAAAATTTTTTTAGAGGTCGCCCAAGATTTTTAGAAACCAAAATCGTCAAACTGATTTTTTTTTCAATTTTTTTACTCGTTATTTTATCATTTTCTAGGTTGAAAAAATATCGATTCTGAAAATTTCAAATCGATATTTTAATTTCTAAAGGTCACTCATAATTATTTTAACTTTCAAAGTAGTGTACCTAAAATGTTTTCGAGCGACCTCTAAAAATAAATATCAACGAAGTAATAACTTTTTATTGAATTTGATGAACAAAAGAATAGAAATAAATCACGAGACACTTAAAAAATTTCTCGAGACAAAATTTACTACCGCACTGTGAGTAGCAAATATTTATAATTTTTAATTTTTTTCAATTTAGAACAGCTTGTTAAACAACTAATCGGAATTACTCCCCACTTTTCATCCTTTTTAGGCATACCTATTTTAAATTTAGATATTATAAGGTCTCTGAATGTTAGTGAAGTTTTTGGCGTTTCAGACTATTTTCTGGTTTCATATTTGTGTTGTAACTTCTATAAAACGTAAAATTCTTATTCTTCTTCTTATTGTTAATATTTCTTGAATTTTGAGGAACATTTTTTTATATTAAATTAATTGGGATTATATTTTTACTTTGCAAAATGCGGATGACATGGTTAATTATTTTAATTTAAATTTACTGTATCTATTTAATACTCATGCCCATTTGTGCGCAATTAATATTACAAAAAACATGTTCCTCACAAATACTCTAAAAAAAATATATGAATATACGTTATAAAGCGTTTCTAAAATATAAAAATACTCGCATAATAATTGGGAGTACTATAAAGATTTAGAAATTATGTCAGCAGTGCATAATGAAAAAAAGCATTTCTTAATCACACATTAAAAAATAAGAACAGTAAATCTTTATGGAATTTACGAAGATCTTAGATATAATTAGTAATAATAAAGCACGGGATTTGTCGGAAAACTTGAAAAATTCAAATGCCATAAATATCTATTTTAATGATATTTCACCGCCAACTCCTACTGTAGAACAAATTTCCTTAACAAATACAGGGTGATTCATTAACAATGGGAAAGTCGAAAGATAAAGATACTACAAGTGAAATGGTGACCATTGGCGCAAACATGCCTTATCCGAAAGTTGATAGTTTCGAAAATACAGAGTGTTGAAAGTTAAAATTTTAAATCGTTTTTTTGCGATTATTCTGAAAATATGTAGGTTAGGAACTTGAAAATTTGTGAAACTATATTTTTTTAGGCGACGAATAAGATGCGTGTTGTAATTTCAGCATTGCTCATAGAGGGCGCCACTTACGACCAATTTTACCGAAAATTTAGTTAATAACTTTTTACCCTGTATATTTAACATGAAACTTGATTCAAAACCTGAAAGAGCTATCATTTTTCCATTAATTATGTACTCTTGTTTCATTTCGGTATCTCGATCCGTTTTCGAGAAAAATCGATTTAACGAACACTATGTTTTGATAATATGAGAAATTAAAAGCGAAACAAACCAAGTGTTTCTTCGTGTTATTACAACAATTAACAATAAAACAAATAAAATACGTAATTATGATTTAAAGTAATTGTTCGAAGAATCCACCGTTGACACTGATACACTTTACACGTTTTCTGAGAGATCTTCGAGTTTGAAACAACATATTGGGATTGCGTCTGACTTCGTTGGCAGCGATTTGTATTCTTTGCCACAACTCTTCACACGAGCCAATAGATTCTTTGTAAACTATATCTTTCATTCGAGACCAAATAGAAAAATCAAGAGGATTGAAGTCCGGACTTCTGGATGGCCAAGCAAAAATGCTTACATGGCCAATCCAGCGATTTGGAAAAACTGCATCTAAATATGCACGCACTGGCCAAGAAAAATGCGGTGGAGCTCCGTCGTGCATGAACCACATGTCTCTTCTTAAATAAAGTGGAACTTCTTCAAGCCGTGGAAGCATTTTTACTTGGCCACCCAGAAGTCCGGACTTCAATCCTCTTCATTTTTCTATTTGGAAGAATCTATTGGTTCGTGTGAAGAGTTGTGGCAAAGAATACAAATCGCTGCCAACGAAGTCAAACGCAATCCCAATATGTTGTTTCAAACTCGAAGATCTCTCAGAAAACGTTGTGTAAAGTGTGTAAATGTCAACGGTGGATTCTTCGAACACTGACTTTAAATCATTATTACGAATTTCATTTGTTTTATTGTTAATTGTTGTAATAACACGAAGAAACACTTGGTTTGTTTCGCTTTTAATTTCTCGTATTATCAAAACATAGTGTTCGTTAAATCGATTTTTCTCGAAAACGGATCGAGATACCGAAATGAAACAAGAATACACAATTAATGGAAAAATGATTGCTCTTTCAGGTTTTGAATCAAGTTTCATGTTAGACATACAGGGTAAAAAGTTATTAACTAAATTTTCGGTAAAATTGGTCGTAAGTGGCGCCCTCTATGAGCAATGCTGAAATTACAACACGCATCTTATTCGTCGCCTAAAAAAATATAGTTTCACAAATTTTCAAGTTCCTAACCTACATATTTTCAGAATAATCGCAAAAAAACGATTTAAAATTTTAATTTTCAACACCCTGCATTTCCGAAACTATCAACTTTCGGATAAGGCATGTTTGCGCCAATGGTCACCATTTCACGTGTAGTATCTTCAGCTTTCGATTTTCCCATTGTTAATGAATCAACATGTATACAGACTCTTACCTTTAACAACGGTTGTATTTTTTCCTTCACTTCGGTTTCCTCGCAAGATGTTTGGAAATACATAATCTCGGTTAAAAGTCACTCCATCGGTTCTGATATGAAATCAATTACTATGATAAAGTTAATTAGTGATTTTTTATTAGAACATATTACGCATATAATTAGCACATCTATACATACTTCTACTTTTCCTAGTGCTTGGAAGTCTGCTAACATTATTCCATTACCAAAAAATAGTAATCCGACTGATTTGTCAACTTCGCCCTATTAGCATACTTCCTACACTATCTAAAATTTTTTAATTAGTTTTGAAAAATCAGATATCAAAATATATATTTGGAAATAATATTATTCCAGATTGCCAGTCTGGTTTTAGGTCACAATAAAGTGCTACTACTGCAGTATTACATATAAATAACAGACGATCTTGTAAATGCCACTGATGAGGGTAATTTGTCTTGTTTTGTTGGATATAGACGTTCCGTACCTTGGACCTGATATTCTCATCAGTAAGTTAAAATTTTATGGATTTGATGATTCATCCGTGTCTTTAATCAATAGTTTCTTGCATGATCGTAATCAAAAAGTCATTGTTATTGACACTTACCAATAAATTTGAGTACCTCAAGGTTCCATATCCATACTCAACCCCTTATTATTTTCTATATACATCTCGGACTTCAATCAGGTTTTAAATAAGTGTAATATTCATCACTACGCTGATGATTCTGAATAATTCTTGATAATTTTTTTTATTCCCTAACGAAGCAGTCAACAATTCCTTACTAAATATTTTAGTTGCCCATAAATTAAAATTAAATCCTAAGAAATCTAATACCATCCTTTTTGGTCCCAGAATTAATATAAATTTAATAAAAGAATATCTAAACATTAAAATAGCAAATGAAATCAATAAAAATTACTAATTAATGTAAAAACTTAAGTCTGTTGTCGAAAGTTTGAGGTTTTTCAAGCATATAAATTATTTATGTCAAGTAGGTATCTTATAGTATTTTCAAACCAGCTATACCCAAATCGAAGAATAAAAAATTAACCTCTGCAATGCTTTTAAAGACTGAATTGGCACGTTTACAGATAATTCAGAGTTGTTGGTTCAGACACTTACCATGTAATATTCATAAAATCTTAAGTACTCAGTCCCTGCTATATTTAATTAATTAACTACACAAACTTCACAAAAATATTTCGAATTTTGATTCCCATTATGCCCATTTGCTCGAAATTCCTCGCCACGCTACTGCTCTGTACACTAGGAGTTTCTAAGGAATATCCTTAATTATTAAAAATAAATTATTGCTAGATGCACGTTAATCCTGATGATTTTCATATTTCATTCTATTTAAATTTATTTTTTTAAAGTTGAAAAGCAGTTAAACTGACACTTCGCCCTATTTATTGACACTGTACGTATTTCTTATTTGTATGTACCTATTTCTTGTTTGAAAATAAAGACATTCAGGCCGAGTATGTATCCCATTTTATCATAATAACAGTTATGTTATTTCAGGGCTGTTAACGTTACCTGTTAAGATATAACATGCATGTTATTGAGGAATTAAGACCATTTTTAGCAAATACTCGTATTGCAATTTTGTTGTTTTCTGAAGACGCTTTTGTGTCGACATTTTTAATAATAATTATGCAAAATTATTATAAACAAGTGTCAGTATTAGACAAAAACACATATAACTGACAGATGTCTTTTAGTTTATGAAACATGAAACAAATGCAAACTCATAAATAACGGATAAGTACAACATAAAATAGTTTGTAACATGTTATCTTAAATTATAACAGAGTTTCTTAAAGGCAAGGAATTTGGTGTTGCTATAGTTTAACGTAGGTGTTATTTGTCTAATGAAAATGAACGGCTTGTTAAATTTCCATTTACTTGCCGGTTTTATAAACGCACATCGAAGGTAAGTTGTAAAATTTAAGTAACTTAGGTAGTATATACGTATATGTATACAGCGTGGTAAAAAAGTTCTGCATAAAATTCATATTTTCGTTAAACAATTTTTTTTTCGAAAAACGGTGAGACCCGTCGATTTTGATTTGATCCAGGGCACCTTGTTATGTGGAAAAATTTTTTTTTTGATAATCCACTTACGGCAGCGATGACATAATTTTTTTTTAAATGACAACGCATATTTTTTTCGTTCGAAATTGATGACAGTGATAATTATCTAAACAACGGTGTGAAAATTTCGATGTCTTACATAACAATTTTTTTTAGAAAAATGCACCTTAAGTTCTTATAAGTGATAATTGTCTACTTACACTATTAATGGCTCCGAAAAGGACAAAGTTGACAAAATTACATTTCAAACGAGTAAAATTACACTAATGTTTGTGTAAGTCTAGCGAAATTGTTCGAATTGCCCACCCTGTACCATTTGGCATTGTCCTAAGCGTGTGTAAACGCCGTCTACACTTCGTTCAAGCATTCCCGGGTCGATTTGATTTATTTCAAAACGATTACGGTTTTTAAGTTCTTCCATATTTTTATATATATGTTGTAGACTCGGTTGTAGAACATAGAAAATTAAATGACGTATTTTTTTTATCGGGGGAAAAACATATTTAGGGGGTGAAATACATCCTCAAAGTTCACTCCCCAAAACAGTTTTTTCTAAATATCTGGGGTTTTAATCAATATTTTGGAATGAAAAAAAATGTAAATTGCTTCTTATAAAAAAACAAATGTTTCACATTAGATTACGTGTTTGGAGGCTGCTACCTTAATTTTTTATTTCAGAAAAACTATATTTTTCAAACATTTTTTATATATATAAAAATTCATATTAAAAAAAATAAAAAAATATGATTTATGTAAAGAAATTGAAAAAATAAAGTTCTCTTTTTAGGGGGTGAACAACCCTCAAGTGTGCTGAAAATGTCTGTACGATTAGAATTAACATTGCAAAGTAAAAAAGTTTTTACTTTTTCTCTAATCATACGAATAATTTGTTCTATTAGCCGCAAACAGATTAAACGGACCCCTCATGGTCACCCCCAAAATATTTCTGTAACATCTCAATATTTTGAAATGAAATAAAACGGAAATTACTTCTTTTAAAAAAATAAAATGTTTCACAAGTGATTTCGTGTTTGGGGGTTGCAATCCTTATTTTTTATTTCAGGAAAACAAAGTATATTTTCAAAATTTTTTTATATATAAAAAATTCATATTGATTTGATTCAAAATATTAAAAATCAGTATAATTTATGTAAACAAATTGACAAAAATAATTTCTCATTTTAGGGGGCGAACAACCCCCTAGTAATCCCCTAGTGTGCGAAAAATGTTTTAACTTTTTCTCTAATCATACGAACAATTTTTTCTCTTGGTCTAAAACGGATTTAAACAGATGCAAACTACCCCTGATGTTCACCCCCAAAAACAGTATATCCGTGATATCTCGGATTCTAATAAATATTTTGGAATTAAACAAAATGGAAATTACTGAACCCGTTTATTGGGGGATGAATGGCAGGGGTAGGTGATGAATAGCAGTGGTAGTTTGCATCAGTTTAAATCCGTTTTAGACCAATAGAAAAAATTATTCGTATGATTAGAGAAAAAGTAAAAACTTTTTATTTTAAAATGTTAATTCTAGTCAGCACAGAAATTTTTCGCACACTAGGGGGTTGTTCACCCCTTAAAAAGAGAACTTAATTTTGTAATTTTTTTAACAAATATGAATTTTTTATATACCTATAAAAATTGTTTGAAAAATATAGTCTGAAATAAAAAATAAGGGGAGCAACCCCCAAACACGAAAACACTAATGAAACAACTGGTTTTTTATAAGAAGTAATTTTGCATTTTGATTCGTTCCAAAATATTGATGAGAACCTCAGATATTTAGAAAAATATGTTTTGAGCAGGGGCGAACTTTGAAGATGTATTTCACCCCTAAACATATGTTTTTCCGCCGATAAAAAAAATACGTCTTTAAATTTTTTTTTTGTTTTGTGTGGTTTTTCCCCAAATTCATGCTCAATAAATTAACTTTAGTAGCAAACTGTTGTCATAAAGCATTAATAAGTTTTAATTGTGATGGTTTCGTTCTCCCGGTAGTCGTAGTCTGTTGTTATGAAACATGAAACAAATATGTACCTACAACGTAGAAGGCAAACTCGTAAATAACGGGTACGTACAACATAAAATAGCGCCCGTGTTCTGTTTAATTTCATTACAATTAAATAACATGTCTGTTTTTCTGATACTTATAAGATATTATGTTATTACGGCATGTTATTTACAAACGTTATTTCTAACATAACAATTTAACGTAAATGGGATACATACTCGGCCTGATTTTATTATTATATTATAACTTAACTATGTTCATGGGTATTTTTGTCATTGGAATATTGTATAACTTCTAATATTTATTTTTTTCTGGGATATTATAACTTAACTATGTTCATGGGTATTTTTGTCATTGGAATATTGTATAACTTCTAATATTTATTTTTTTCTGGGATAAATGTCCCATTTGTATTTTTGTAATTCGTGTTATTAAATATCGTCAATAATTTAAGAGTTTGTTCGTGATTTTCTTTGATTATAATTTTTTTTATGTTAATTCCTAAACTTGCAAGTTAGCTCTCGAAGCTTCTCTTTTTACTATCGTTACAATTCAGTCGCTATTACATTTTCCGTGATTTGTTGCGAAAAAGTGCCATTTAGCATCTATGTCGTCGGTACTTTAAACTGACCGAAAATATTACTGGGGCAAATGTAAATGATGGTAATACCCACCATATTGGATCCGTCATTTTGGAATTTCGAATCTTAATGGTAAATTCTCAATTAGTGGTCTTAGAATCATTATTACACGCATTTTAAATGCATATTTTACAAATTTTAAAAATTTAACAATCGTCTTTATTTATATGTTATGAAAAGTAATTTTCGGACGCCATATTTGATGCGCCATATTGTATTTTTCAGAGGGTCACATTTTTCCAAAAATTCATATCCAGACGAACTTTCTAAGACCGCATACGTCTTGATCGGTCAATCCAAATTTTGGGACCAGATTGACATGAAATGTCCCGTATACCATATACAAAGTGGCCCATTAAGAACTAGGACATCCGTCTAAAAGGTTTTGGCGTATGCGATTTTAATGATTTTTTATAAATATTGGTGTACTTGTTCAACCTATTACGATGATGAAACTGCTAATCCACATACTAGAAACTAAAAATTTTTTTGCAACCAATTTTTTCGAAAATGTGGCAACGTGACATTCTCCAGCGGTACTTAAATCCCAAATTTTATAAACTTTTTTTATTGAATTTGTGTTTCTGCTAAAAAATGCACAATTAATTGAAAATGCCTGAAAATGTATTGTTCTTCTTACTTATAAATTAAAGTACAATCATATTAACATAAAAAATAACAGCTACTAAATTTAAATTACCTTTTTTAGGGTTGAACAAAACTGAACTACCAACTATCGATGGTTTGGACATGTGGAATTGTATTTCTGAGGGCACAATGAGTCCTCGGACAGAACTGATTTATAATATAGATGATATCGTTAATTATGGCGCTCTTAGAATAGGTGATTTGAAATATATATATGGCTCAACCAATGGTGGAAAAGCAGATAAATGGTTTGGGAATTCTGGCAAAAGTGATCTTTATATTTATGACAGTCAAGCAGTGCTATCCTCTAAAGCGGCTAGTGCTTTTGCAGGTGTTATAACCCATTCACAAATTAAGGAAAAAAATAAGATCGTTCCAGTCTTAGGAAATGATACTTTTAATTTAACACTCATAAATAAAAAAGCAATTTTACGTTTAAGGCAAGAAGCTACTATTAACTGTCCAGAGGTAAGTCAGAAATCTCAATATAGCAAATGTGATGTGATGACTGCGCCTTGTTTGTTTAATATAACACACGATCCATGTGAAAGAATTAATCTAGCGAAAGAGAAATTGATGGAAATGATGTATTTTAAAGAAGCTATTGAAAGATACAGGAAAACTGCTATATCTCCTAGAAATGTTCCTCAGGACCCCAACGCAGATCCAATTAAATGGAATAACACATGGACTAACTGGAAAGATTATGAAAATGTAAGAAAAAAAATAGTAATTAATCAACTATCACCATTAGCTCTGGGATTACTAATATCTGCTATTATAGTAGTATTATTTATAGTTGTAATGTTAATTAATTTAAATTTAAAACAATTTTGGACGCGTGGGGAAAACAGAAATAATTGTCTATTTAGAAGCAGTGACGAAGATCCTATTGTGAATATAGTAGACAATAAAACTAGGTTATTTGAAGATAAAGAATTACAGGCGAGAGTTTACTTAAAAGAAGAGCTAAGAACCCTTGAATAATGTAATACCAAAAAGGAATGTTGTAGATATTTTTTGTACAGAGCAATATATTTTGTATTTAGCCAATAAATATGTGTTTGCAATTGTTCATAATTTCTTTTTGTACTGAAAAACATTTTTATAATTTTTAGGGGGAAATTCAAGATGGAATTTAAATACTTGGTGACAAATTTATAAAAAAATAAAAGTCAGATGTATATAAGCTAGTGTAGGGAATTTCGAATTAACTATAGCAGATACAGAACCTCAAAGAGGAGGTGCAACCAGCTTTTTCCATGTAACTTTAAAATTATCAAATTCAAAATTTCAGTAAAATTAGTATCAGGCCCTCTATTCAAAGAACTGCTTTGAAATTGCAAGAAAACTACGTATAAATCAGGCACAATGTAAAAACCCAAAATTGAGATATACACAGGAACAAGTAATATTTCACAAGCTACCTTTCCAAAATTGTATTTTATTTTTGACAATTTCAAATCCCGATACCCTTAAAAATTCAATGGAAAAAGAAAGTAATATTGAACTTGTAAATAATGTGTTATAATGGAGACACTTTGACGATAGATATAAATAAAGAATAATGCATTTTATTACGTAAACTTTTTTTGTAACCTAACCCAGCTTTTTTTTGGCCGGAGGGAAAATCTATGATGGGCACCCAGCGCTTAAGTCTAATGCCCCAGGTAGTGCCGAATTCCTACCGGTTAAAACCCCTTCTCCACTTCACACCCAACGCGGAACTATCTTGCCGATCTATCATCGAGATGGGAGAGTTTATGCACTGCTCATGCGTTGGCCTGATCACGGCATTCATCGACTTCCTTCGTTTTCATCTTATGAATGAGCGCGGTACCACTTCTCCAGCAATTTTTTCTTTCGGTATTAAGTGCATGAAGTTATCTCCTATTTCCAGATTATTTGAAATTGCGTCCCCTCCTCCTCTCATCTGGTGCATACATATAAATAAGGTATGCTCTGGATCGACGTTGAATCCGCAGTACATGCATCTCATTTCTCATCTGATGACTTCCCAATTATCTTTGTCCAAGGCCCTGAACTAACACCTAACCCACAATCCGATGTTAGGGACAAGCCTTCTTGTCCATGCCCCCATTCGCTCTCTCTCCCATCTAGTTTATCATTCCCTCTCAATGTTTGCCCTTATCAAGTCCTTCCCCATGATGAGGTTGGTACCAACGTCTTAGAACCAGGCATGCCAATCTTTTATTGCGAGGTCTATTGGAAAGCTACCAACAATCTCCTGCAATGCAGCATTTGACACCTTTCTATAAACACAACCGATTCAAGAGCATCCTACGCTGGGCCTTTGTAAAGCTCTCCCGATATCTGTTGCTGCGCAATGCATCGCTCCATACAGGTTCACCGTATTAAGACTGCGGATAGAAATGTCCTCATCAGAATCCTTCTCCTATACATTGACGGACCCCCTCTGTTCGGTAGGATCCTGGTCAAGGTCACCGCGCTCTTCTCTGCCTTTGCTGTAACCGCCAATACGTGGACTCAATGTTCCCTGGCGGTCTAGCTAGATGCTCAGATATTTTATCTTAGGGAAGCTGATATTAAGCTTTCCCTCAAGATCTGGCATCTGGTTAGCCTTAAATTTTACCATTGACTTTTTCCTATATACTTGGAGGAGCATCGCCTCAGATTTTTCAGGGACGATCTGCAAGTCATTCCCTCCATCAACTCCTCGATTTGGATTAACGCTCTACTTGCCTTGTCCATCAGGGACTTGTCATCGTTCACTCTGACCAGGAGCGCCAAATCATCCGCGAACGCTACAGCCGTAGAGAACGTTCCACTGGGTTAGTCCCAAAACCGAACCCTGTGGAACTCCTTTAGTGATATCTATCTCCAAACCCCGGTTTATAATTAGTTTCCTGTTCCGGAAGTAACTGTTTATCTTCCTCATTAGGCCTACACTGACCCCTCTCCTCTAGTTTATTCAAAATAGTCGGGAAGGATGCCGAATTAAATGCATTTCGGATGTCCAGTTACAATTTCCACTTTTGTGAAAATTCCCGGCTTTGTCCAGTCCCTAATGTAATTATTGAAACATGTATGATGGACTTTTCTCGAAGCCAAATTGTCCTTATGAAAAAGGTTTCCTTTCGGCTAACTGCGCCTCCAGTCTTCGATTAATAATTAGGTACCTTCAACACCTTTGCCATCGCGTCGAGCGTGCAAATGAACTCTCTCAGTTGGGGTTCCCTTTTCTCTTTTTGCAATCGCCTCCTCAACTTCCTCAGCCGCATTGTATCTTCTTAATTCCCAATGGCTCTACTATTAGTCCAATCAATAGGTAGGAAAGCTTATAAAAAATACCACCTGGAAACAAAAAATATGGTGATATAGGAAAAAAATCTAAGATAGTGTATTTTTCCGATGGCGCATAAACGGCGAAGTTATCCTAAAAAAATCATAAAAGTAAAAAAATTGGTTTTTCGCCAATAAAAAAAAACGAACTCCAACCGAAAAAAGTTAAATGAGAAAGTTGTAGCTATTAAAAAAAAAATTAGATATTATTATCGATACGTATTTTTAAATATATCGATTGCTATATTACTTTTCGAAAATTAAAAAATATTAAAAATTTTATCGATATTTCGAAAAAAAGGTCATTTCGAAAATCGGCTCTTCTTGCTCGACGAATAGTCGTAGAGAAATGAATCAGGGCTCATTTTTTTCCTTGAGAGTTGTACTTTTATATTAAAAAAGAGTGATAACGATTTTATTCATTTCAAGTGTACAGAGATGATTTTGAAAAAAGTAAACTTTTTTTTGGGCGCGTTTTTCTTGAATATCTTTCGATTTTCATTTCTCGGCAATGTTGATTACAGGGATCGATTACTGACATTTTTACACGAATTTAAAAAAACGTTGCTCTACGACCTTCTGGAGCCGATTTTTTTTTTCACTTTAAAAAAGGTACTTTTTTGCTTGTCGAGGGCTACACTTACAGCAAGTAAACCTTAAATTGCTACAGATACAACAAAAACAAGAAAAGTCGATTTTTGACGGTTTTTTCGATATATCTCGAAAAGTAATATAGTAATCGATATATTTAGAGTACGTATCGATAATAGCTACAACTTTCTCATGTAACTTATTTCGATTGGAGTTCAAGTTTTTTTTATTAGCGACAAACCGTTTTTTGACTTTTATTAATTTTTTAGGTCAACTTCGTCGTTTATGAAACATGAAAATACAATATCTTTCTTAGAATTTTTTTTCCTATATCACCATATTTTTTTGTTTCCAGGTGGTATTTTTTGTAAATTTAGCATAAGACAGATTGATTGCATTATCTTTAGAGAACAGCTGATGCGCAATTTGTACTTTCCTTTCAGCCTTCAAATTAGTTGATTTTGCAGACCCATCGCCCAAATATCCTCCTCAAATTCGCTGCACAGCTAGGCTCATGTTGACTTCTTCGCTTCCTTAATAGTTGTGTTCAGTACCCTGTGTTTTTCTACATGCTTCCTGATGAGATTTTCAAAGTCAAGTCATTTGGATCTGTCCCTCCTACCTCTGGTAAAAGCTCTTCTTGTTCTATTATACCTCTTTCTCAGTTCGTTGATTTCTTCGCTTCACCAGTAGGGTAATATCGCAACTGCTTCCCGGGCTCAGCAGATGACAGTGCCATTATAAGCCTTTTTGTAACGGCGAAGACGGCGACCATGAAGATGACAACGATAGGGAGCTTAGGAAAAGCACAGCTGAGGTGTCCCATAGGCAAGCGCGAGATAAGTTATATGCGTACGGGGCTAGAAACTCCATGTAAATAAAAGAATATCTTTCATTTTTTTGACCAATTTTACCCCCTCTACTTTCTCTAAGGCCCCAGCGACATCTACAAAATATAGTCGGCTAACACGAGAGACACCTACATATTTGTTTGCATTTCATTCTCATTAATGTTATAAGTGTAAGTATAAGTTAAATTTTGATCATATCTGTATTGCAAAAAGGAAAGAAAATTAATTAGTAGAGATTAATTTTTCAAGACAAAACGTCTGAATCTGGTTCGGGCTGAGGCAGTACAGTATTGGGGGATCATGAAGGCTTGCAAAAAATGTAATAAAATTTCTATGGTCGTATTTAAAAAAATGATGTTGATGATAGTCCTGGAGAGACGAAACGTTATATACAAAAATTGATTCATATAGATAGAGGGCAAAAAGTGGCCATGAGAAAGTGCTGTTCTTTTTTCAATATCACCTCAAACAAGGCTGAAATTAAATAAACACGGATTTCCAAAAATTCGTTTTTTTCAAATATTTCGATAACTAATCATGTTGATTTTTTAGAGGCATAATGTTGGTTCCCTGATTACGCAACTTTGCCCCCATTTAAGCTACTTCGTAGCTCTTACCGTTTCCGAGATCCCTGTAGTGAGAAGCGAATTTGTAACAGCCTGTATGTATTTACCCTAGATTAAACATATAAGGAATACAGAGTAGCTTGCTGCTTGTTCAAACTTGAATGGTAAATTCCTGGTACAAATTTGGTGTGCCTTAGTTTTTTTTTGTAATACAGGAGCGTAATTTCGGTATATGTAGAAAAATTGATTCATAGGTTAATTTAAAACAAAGATAATAATTCGGACACTTTATCTACGAATGAAATAAAACATTATTCTAATAACAATTTTCCACTGTTTTCGATACTTTAAAATAATTGTATATTTTTTTATCAATTAGATTGAAGCCATGCGTTTTTAAACACATATTAGAGAACTTAGGACTTAAAGAGGTTCAATATACCTACTGAAAAAAAAATGTTAAGAAAGTTTTCAAAGTAGGTAATTGAAATCTGTTAATAAATATGCAAACTGACTCGTGTAAAATCAGATCGATTGCCAATGTAGTCTTTTTGAAAAATGATAATGAAAATGATGCTCTTATACACAGGGTCTTATGGGAGTTGGGAAAAAACTTTCATCAAACGTGCATCAAATATTGCTCTTAAAAATGGTTAGGATCGGGAAAATAAAATTGTAATTAAAGAATTAAATATTATTAAACATTTTAAAACAATAAAAATATGCACTTACAATGTAATTAT